TTATTGCCATGGCAACGTTAATCAATCATCACCCTAAAAATAGCCTTAATTCTTTTTTCTTTCTTTTTTTTTTTAATAGAAGGCATCTGCAGTGAATTTAAAACTTGACTATCACTATGTGTTTTCCATGGCTGTTTTCTCTTCTTCCTCAGACAGAGGAAGACTAGACAAGTAGGGAATACTCACAAAGCAATTAATTAAGTCAGAGTTTAATCTGCTTTTTCCCCACTGTGGTATGCTGAAAGTTATTCTCTACTGGGGGGTATATTAAAATATGTGAAGATAGACAGTTCTGGACAGATAATAGGTGGGAAACAAGCACAGCCCTTTGTAATCATGGGCATAAAGTTAATATGCATTTCCCCATTGCTATTAGAAATCTGAGAGGACTGAAATTTTGAGAACTTGTCTTCAATGTCTATGGAGATTCAGTTCAGATGAGCAGCGAAATGTTTTCAAGTGGGGGGAGGAGAAAGCCCAGTTATCTTTTGAAAAGTACTTTGGGGACAACTTAGCTGCAACTTTATGCAGATGTATTCATTTTCAAATAAATATCACTAATATTTTTCCCAAAGGCAAAATGAAGGCAAATGGATATTATTTTATCAGGGTAACTCAGTAATAAGGATTACTACTAGTTAATACTTTAGAATACCAAAATGATTTACAAAAATGGGTGGATCCTAGCAGTATAAAATTCATTAGAGAAAAATGCATTGTTCTTCTAGGAATAAAAACAAATGATGCCAAGCTATGAGTCAGCAAGTTTTAGATTCATCAAGAAAAGAAGAGTTTTCAAACCAAAGAGTTGCTTTCTGTTCCGCAGTGGCAAAACCACACATTTTGGACCTCACACATTCAGACAGATTGGAAAGAGATTCAAGATTATCAGATGGATTTAAATGAGTACTAAGGGGATGTGTTTAGTTTAAAATAGGTAGGGTATGACAACAGTTTTCAAATATGCTGAAAAATTTCTACATAATCTCATGTGGAACAAACTGATTTTGTGGCGAAAACCCAAATAAAGGAGGCTGAGTAATATTGGCTTAAGGGAAATTGTTAACATTTAATAGTTTTTTCCCCTCAGGCTTCTCAAAAATCTGTTAAACCCGATGCTTAGAATGAGATTCTCTCTGTTGCCTGCTCAGTTTGTGGCAAAGTATTATGGGCTTTCTAAATCTCTTACAAATATTATTTTGATTATTATTTATTTGTAGAGCAGCACCTGGCCACTTCTAGAAATGTTAAATAGGAAATTGGAGAATGTGCTCTGTGTATTCCTTTATATGTCATGTGTGCTAACAAAAATGCCAGTTTAGTACTTGAGAAGTGTCTGCCCAAGGGAAATGAAAGAAGAAGGAATCATGTTTTAAATTTCAATATACTTGCAACATTAATTTTCTGCATTTGTATCTGATTTCTTGTATGAATTAATATCTTGTCACTAAGCTACCATTCTGTAGGTTGCAATAATTTACTACCTTTGCTTTGCTAAAGTACAATGGATGCATAGGATGAATCCCAAAATACTTGCATTGTAATCTTAGCTAATTCTAGCAATCTTAGCATAGCACTCTTTGGAGGGAGCATTAAACACCTGCCCAAAAATAGTCTAGCTAACAGATCAGAAGGATGAAAAGAGGCTTAAGAAAAGCACCAGGGTCAGTCCCTATCACTTCACCCAGCATCTCTCCTCTGCAGCATAGCAACCCCAAAGGTTTTTGTAGGTGCCTAAGAGATGAAAGAGCTAGGCCCTGGCCTCCAAGAGCAGGCTCTTTCAACAGACAGTTTTGTGTTATTCTGTGAAATTGTTCTCTTTGTCCTGAAGCACAGACATATATGGGTGGAATACTGCAATTATTTACATTAACAGGAATATGTCCATGCAATTGAATGTACCTACTTATTCTCAGGTTTGCTGTGGGTGGCAGTGGCCGCCCCAGTATGTCAAACCCCTTGCCAGCCAAAGTTGCAGAATATTTACAATACCCTCACTGGGTACAGAACAAGAAGAACCTAGATCTGTTTCCTGACATCAGTCAAACTCCTATGCAGCACAAGACTTGAACAAGCTTGTGTGCAGCAGCTACATAAACAGAGGGATAGAATTAAGATCACATGAAGTGTTAATACCACTTTATAATGCCTTGGTAAGGCCACACTTAGAATACTGCATTCAATTTTGCCACGATGTAAAAAAGATGTTGAGACTCTAGAGTGCAGAGAAGAGCAACAAATATGATTAAGGGATTGGAGGCTAAAACATATGAAGAATGATTGTTGGAACTGGATATATCTAGTCTTATGAAAGGAAGGGCTAGAGTTGACATGAAAGTGTTCCAATATCTCAGGGGTTGCCACAAAGAAGAGGAAGTCAAACTATTCTCCAAAGCACCAGAAGGCAGGACAAGAAGCTTTGGGTGGAAACTAATAAAGGGAAGCAACTTAGAATTGAGGAGAAATTTCCTGACAGTTAGAACAATTAATCAGTGGAACAACTTGCCTCCAGAAGTTGTGAATGCTCCAACACTGGAAGTTTTTAAGATGTTGGATAAACATTGTCTGAATTGATGTAGGGTTTCCTGCCTGATCAGGGGGTTGGAATAGAAGATCTCCAAGGTCCCTTCCAACTCTGTTATTCTATTCTATTTTAATCTTTAAACCCATGTCCAAAAAACACAACTAGCACATCTGAAGAGATTTCAGAACCCATGATTATAAAGAGACTTCATGTAGGCCTTGGTTTACGATCAGAATTGAGCCCCAAATTTCCATGGTTAAGCAAGACAGTGGTTAAATGAATTTCGCCTCATTTTATGACCTTTTTGCCATAGTTGTTAGGTGGATCACTGCAGTTGTGAATCATGTGGTCATTAAGCAAATCTGGCTTCCCTCATTGACTTTGCTTGTCAAAAGCTGGCTGGGAGGGTTGCCAATGGTGATCAGATGACTGCAGGACAATTTAACTGTCATAATTACATACCAGTTGCCAAGTGCCTGAATTTTGATCACACAACCATGGGGATGCTTGTAGTGGTCATTAGTGTGAAAAAAGGCTGTAAGTCATTTTTTTCAGTGCTGTTTTAATTTTGAGTGGTTACTAAATGAATAGTTGTTAAGTCAAGGACTACCTGTGTATAAGATCTGACAAATGTTAAGAAAAGTGCTATTTGGAACTCACGTGAATAGATTCCAGTATGGAAGGTAATGACTGGTCATTTCTGCAGCTCGAGCCAACGAGGCTATGGAATCCAGTGTCCAGTAACTAGAGAAGAAACTCTTTCCCATAGAAGATGTGTAGATTGCAGTCTCAAGCATGTTGTCACTTGTCTCCTAGGCTGTGGCCATGACCAAAATTCTGTCTGGTAAAGCAAAGACTCCTTTTTAGGCTTCTTTCTCTGTGGACTGCGGATGAGGCAATGTCAATGTCATGAAGACATGTCATTTAAAGTCCATTTGTGGGGTTTCTTTATGCAGAGGGACAAGTAGATAGTAGATTGACATCTTACAACAGGGGTGGGAAACTATGGCCCCTTTATGACTTATGGACCTCAATTCCCAGAATTCATCAGCCAGTCATGCTGCGGAATTCTGGGAGTTGAAGTTCAGAATTCATCAGCCAGTCATGCTGCAGAATTCTGGGAGTTGAAGTCCACAAGTCTTGAAGTGACCAAGTTTGGAGAGCCCTGTCTTACAGGGATGATTATGATAATGATGATGATAATAATAATCATAATAATAATGATGATTTCATTCTATTCATTCATTCCATCCAGATTTATTTGTCATAAATCTGAAAGTTGTTATATCAGTGAAAAACATCTCCAAGTATACAATTCTATGGCAGGAAAAATAATTTGGATAATTGGGCAATTGAAATATAATGGGTGGCAAAAAGATTCAGCATCCTTCAGTTCATATGCCTATTACATCCGCTCTTCTGCTTTTCCTCTCAAAGTTTGTTTTATCTAGAAATTGGTTTGCTTTTATTGCTTACCCTTTTCAAGTGCAGCATAACTATCTACACATAAAACAAAGGCTTCAGTTCTGAGGACAGTGTAACTACTTGCCAAAAAAAAATTAGGAAACTATCCATGAGCTGAAAAATTCATGGAGAATGTTGAGACTGTTGAACTTGTGAAGTCCCCCTCTCCCTCTGTCCTTATAGAGATTTTGCACTTATAAATGTCAGGCTTATTCTCCCAAATATGAGGCAGATAAAAACTGATAGCCAGGATACTGCAATGCAGAAAGGACATCATGAAACTGTTAATGGGTATAATTGTTGCATTTTATGTTATATGTTTTCTTTACAGTGCTCATTTTTGCCCAAGTTCTCCATTCACATAGAGACCAAATATGAGGACAACAAAGGAAGTAATGATAATGTAAGTATTCTCTCCTTTCAATAATTGAATGTAAAGTACATTTAAAACGTAGGGCAGATAGCCCAGAAGAAATCAAGGTGTTAGACGCAAAAAAAACAGGTCGGCACGTGAAGGTTCTAAATTATTGGTTTATTGCTAAAGCCTATGCACAGAAATATTCTCAGACTAATGGCTTGCACCTGGACTAGATAAGGGTCAGCTGTGTTCAAGAGGGGGCGGGGGCTGTGGCTATCTAATGATTCTAAACTGATATCTCATTTAACTCTTCCCCTTGGTTCTGTCAGTACCTTTACACAAGGGAAGATTGTGCATGGCAGCACCATGTTAGGATACCACCACTTATATGTAATTTAAATAATAACTATCCAAGGTTTACATGAAATACCTTTTAAGCTTGAATGTCCCTGTTTCATAGATAGTTAATACTTTTTAGGAAGGTAACAATTTCTAAGGATAATTACTTTTATTTTTTTTATAGCAAAACTGTATGTCTGAACTGCCAGTATGTTAGTTCAGGAATTATATGTGGGTAACTAATACCGGTATATCCCTCCCACAATCCTTGGTAATTGTATTCATAGACTGGTTTTGTAGGTCATAGGTTGAGCTTCTTATTGAATAATACTATACAAAATTCCTGTCAGGAATTTTTCTCCTATTCCCAAATGCCATCACAGAACCTAGTCAAAACTATCAAATGGTAAGGCAAAGAAGCTTACCAATTCCAGGGTTTCAGGTGCTATAAAAGAGCTGATCATGAGTGGAATTATCGTTTTTAAGGTATTTGGATCTCTTCGTGGGTGTATCCTTACAGTTCAGCCAGTTTGTGTAACCAATTATTAATTTTTCCCCCTCATATTTGAAGGGCAGCAATATGGCATTTGAAGGCATGCAAGTAGAGAATCCAGGTTGGAAGAAATAAAATATATCTACATTACTTAAACTTTGCACTAAACTGGTGAGGGCTACAGGCTTAAAGTATTAACGTATTGTTGGCTAAACAGTCATAATGCCTTGGGCAAACCCAAAGGAGCTCCAGTTTTTTAGAGAGCAAGAACAAATGGTGGCAGATGACCAATTAGCACCCCTCTGATCACACTTATGGTCATCTGATTTTGCTTCTGGGGTAATAAGGATGAAGCATAACAGATTTCAATCATCTTGAGGCTGCATATAAATGTTCTCAGCTTAAAGGGGAAACATTCCTTTAACATCAATACAGCTAAAGACAACTGTTGCAAGAAAGAAGACATGTCTATGTTTATACCTGAAACCTGCAATAACCTACTCTATAGGGTAGAATAGACAGAGATAAGGTAGCTTTAGAATTCATTAGGATATGAATTACTGTCTCCCATTCCCTGTACCACAGCAGTCCTTTAATTCTCATGTAAACAGGAGCGATTTAATGAAATCATGAGTTTGTAAACTTTGTAAAAAATTTCTCATACAGATCTCCAATAACTTTCTGTCAAGAAATAATTCATTAATTGTTCTTCCTGTTATATATTATAAAGCAAATAAGATAGCAAACATTAATCAGTGAATTAATTAAAGCTCCAGATGATTAATCAAGAGTACCTTGCTAATTTTAACATGGAGACATTTTAAAGGCTGTTTTGTGATATGCTATGGTAATAGAGGATGAAAAATAAATATTAACTTAGATTAACAGATCAGAGATCTGCCATGGACTAAAGCTTATTTATGCATGTGAGGGTAAATGTATGAATGAATTACACAAACAAGAACAAAAGATTTATGGCACATTTAAAATGAATAGATTTATTTAGTTTCTTATAAAATGTGATTTATTGTCAGAACTTTTCGTGCTCTGAACATTAACATTCAAGGCATCAAAAGACTCTTGATTCTCTCTCTCTCTCTCTCTCTCTCTCTCTCTCTCTCTCTCTCTCCACACACACACACACAGACACAAACATATTACTACAGTATAAGTACATGCTACCAGAAAAACTCAGAAGTATGGCTTCTCATCCACCAAACTAAAGAATATTCTTAAAACTATCTCTTTAAAGATAGTTTTAAATAGTGAAAGCTATTTCTGTCTTTAAAAGGAATGTATTTGTTTCAACCTGTTCAGTGGAACAGACTTTTGTTCTTAGTTTTCAAAATGTTGACACTTTAAAATGAGATATATAGAGATACTCTTACAGGTAATAAGTGTAACATATGGCAATGCAATATTTGGACTTATCATGGAAATTTTATAAAATGTCCATTTTAGAACAGAATATTTATCAAACAGACATAGAGAATTAGTTTTTCAATTTAACTCATATATATATATTTACAACCCCCGGTATGCCCAAATATGGGAGGAAGATCACTACTTCCATTCTCTGTCCTTTGGCTTGTCACAAGAGACCATCCAGGCAGAAACCCAATATTTTTACTGTTGCCTTTTTGTTACATTTTGTTGTATTTGTGCTGATAAATAAATAAAGGGAGACTAGTATAGATCTATTTCAAGCTATTTAGCTCTCATCAGCTAGCCATACCCTTACTGGGATTTGAACCTGGGCTATATTACATACTAGGCAGACATCTTAGCCATAATGTATACACATACATACATACATACACACATACATACACACATACTATATATATACTATATATATATAGTATGTGTGGGTGTATGTGTGTGTGTATATATATACTAATATACAGTATATTAAACATATATAGCAATATATACCAAGGAGATACATTGATTTTTTTTAAAAAGGATATGCACACATCTCTTGATGTAGACGAAGAACAGTAATAGCATTTGATGACAATCAGAGAATATTTAAACCAGCTTTATAGTAGTAAATGTTTCTTGTTATGAACTGTTAAGCTGTATCTTTTCTGCTACTTCCTACCTATGATTGCTTTTTACATGTCATCACATATTTATTTGGATGTTCAAGGAGGTATTCCCTATTCTTCAGATAGAATTAGTCTCTAAAGAAAACATTTTCCCGCTGGTTCTGTTTATAGCGCCAGGTTTCTACCATACTCGTTATCCCCATCTTCCTATAAAACTAAAGCACTTTAGCACCCCCCCCACCCCCCCTCACAACTGGGCTTAGACCTTTGTAATAATATCCAAGAAACATTTTCCTGTGGCATCCTCAGCATGTTGGTAGCATTTGACTTTCCCATTTGTCTTCCTCCTCCTCCTCTTGGAAGGAAACGCTTCCTTTAGGTAGATCAGCATCTTTCTCTATTTAACTCTAAAATGAAATTAATTTGCAGCATGCTAAGTCTTTGCCTTGGAAATGCTGACGCAGTGTTGATGACAGGAGTTTCTATATTAAGTTGAATACGATGCTCTAGGCCTGGGTTAACACTGGTCCACAGAGATAGAATTGCACACTGAAGCTTATTGACCTCTAGCCATATATTTCCAAGTTCTTATTTCATGGGCAGAGGTTACAAGAAAGAGGAAAATGTTATTACTTGTATTCCACTCACTGTCAATATATGAATGTACACAGTATATATACGCTAATACAATACGGTATCAAGACATATCACTTCCCATAGCCTTAATTCTAGTCTGATAAAATGTGCAAATAATGATTGCTTTTCTTGCCTCTACTCCAGATTAAGGGATGAGTTACTCAATTGCAAGACTTCATCAGTGTCTAGAAGTGCATGCAGCTTAGCAGGTTAAGAATAGTTCTAACATAAAACTGCAAGCAGACAACTGGTAATCCTTCGAGATTTATAACCTATTCTACATACTTTTACTTGATAACAACTGAGTTTGTTTGGACCTGCCTAATATAAATACTTAGAATCGCTAAAAGTAAAAATGCACTGTCTTATAAAGTGTACTTTTTATGAAATTATATATAATGTCTCTGCTTCAAAGAGTTTAGATCTATAATATATAGAATACAAGTTACTATGTTACTCCTTATGGAGATACTTAATTGGCCAAAAATTGTTTTGTAATTTGTGATAATATTAGCACATGATTTAGTAGAAAAGCTATTCATTCCTATGTTGGAATTGCTTGTAAACTCAATTTGTCATGGTTATTTGTTTCTTATTTATCAAATTAGGTGTAATGTTCTTATTCTATTTCATTTTTAATTATTTGGAATGGAGTATTTCTATGATAATTCAGTGCTGACACATAATGGCTTTAACAACTCATTAGTATAGGAAGTTTGCATTGTTCTAACTTATCTTTTCCTATATTAAAGTCTCATTTGAACCAATACTGAATCCTGGTGACTGCAAGGACATGTCCTTTTCTGTACTTTGAACAATTATAAATGGTTTTCTGTTGCTTTCTTCCAACACGATTTTCCGTCTGTCCGTCCGTCCATCCATCCATTCATCTATCCATCTTAATTTATGTAGCTCCTCATCTCACCATGATGATACTTGGCAACTAACAATGGTTAAATTCCAATGTAATATACACCACAAAAATAAATACATAAATGTCAGCCATTATAAAACCATAAACACAGATCAACATAGATTCTCATGAGCTCTGCCCCAAATTTCGATCCCCATGCCTGATGACACAGTCATGTCTTCAGTGCTAATAAAGTCAGGATCAATCTAATCTCTGCATGGATGGTATTATAAAAAGTGGATGCCATGACTGAAAAGCTCTCTTCCTGGGTCCCATCAGATTGCATTCTTTAATAAATTTAATAAATGGGACCCATAGCATCTAATCTAATATTAATTCATTCTTCATAAATCTGAAGAAGTTATAAATAAATAATTTTGTGATATAGTATAATAAACAATATAGGATTTTTCATTTAGCTATATTGTGGCCAAGAAGAACTACTATTTCCTTCACTTCTAAAATGAAATAGTTTCATTTTTTACTAATTCCTCAATTCATCTGTGAGTGAATGTATAAACAATTAATAAAACAAATAGGAATTTTCTTAATTGAAAGGAACTACATAGGACTTAAAATTTATGAAAGAGCTAATTAGTTGAATCAGATTTTT